TTCCAAACAAGTTTCCTGTCAAGCGTCACCCCGAAAAATTTGATTGAATCCCTTAATTTTAATTCGACGCCCTGAAATTTAGGGTTTTTGAAATTACCTAGTATTCTTCTCCTACTAAACATTATCAGTTCCAGTTTAGCTGGATTAATTGAAAGACCTTTATCACAACACCACTCAGAAAGCAACCCCATAGCCTCCTTCATCAGCAGTGAAAGAGTCAGGGGATCTCTGCCTGTGATCATTATGGTACCATCATCTGAAAATAATTGACTGTAGAAACCTGAATTATTTAGAAGTTCTATTAAACTGTTTACTGTGATTAACCACAGAATAGGGGATAAGCAGCCTCCCTGGGGACAGCCTCCTGTGACATTGATTCTAAGAATGCTACTACCTAAGCACATATTTACCATCCGTCCTTTCAGGTAGGTTTTCACCCATCCTGTGAGATGTTGGTCTACATTGTATCTATTTAGTGCTTATATAATTCAAGAAGTGTCTGCATTATCAAACGTTAGGTTAAACCTCCATTGAGCTGTTGCTTTGCATTCGAAGATGATATGAGTGGCTGTTTCCTCCTCCTCGTTACATAATCTGCAAATGGGGTTATCGCTGTATACGCCCATGTTGTGAAGATGTTTTCTCAGATACCAGTGACCGGTTAGTAGTCCTACCACTCCTCTGAGTTTGGCCCTCTCCAATTGCAGCAGTGCTTTTGCCAGTCTCAGTGAGGGTTGTTTCATCATGAGTATACTATGTCTAGCTCCGCTAGAGTTTATCCACTTCTCCTTTTGTTTTGCTTGGATCCATTTTGCGATGGAGGATTGTGCATTTGTTTTTGTTATCCCAAGAATAGGTTCGGGGCCTATGTACGGTCTTGTAGATCCTCCTCTGGCCGGTCTGTCTGCTTCTCGTTACCCAAAATTCCCCTGTGCCCTGGCACCCAAGATATAATCAGGTTGTTGTGTTTCCCCAGGTTTTGAAGATTTTGGATGCATTCACTAATTTTTATGTAACGTAGGTTTAGAGAAACATTTTCTTTGTATTTACCAACGTTTTGATCTCTATTGAGATATCTTCAGGGCCTGGGATTTATAAACATTGTTTAAATTATACAAATACACGTATGGTGTGAAAAAATGATGACATCTTTAACAGTCACTAAATACCACTCATTTTTTTGTGTTACCAACAGAAACTCAGAATTGGTTTCTGCTTTGTATGGAGGTCAGTAGACCGTTCATCGATTTCTTTAATTAATTCCAAACATAAAATTAAAAGTAAGATAGTTTATAAAAAAATTAAAAGGATAAATGAAACCAATTAAAATAATGTGTAGAGATTAGTGACCGTTAATCGATAGTTATTGGATTAACTGAAACAATTAACCAACCATAAAAATTTTAATATAAATAAAAGTCAAGCTAATGTTTAAAAATAAATTGTTTTATTGTCATTTTTGAAAATATAAATATCTGTTGTTTGCACAAGACGTTCACAAGGGACGCAACATTATTGTTCTGTCTAGTAGTAAATGCTTGAAAAGTTTTGTTAATTACTGTTTGGACAAACGTAATACTGATTGTATTGATAGGATAATATTGGTTTCAGTTGTGATTGCTCCCTATCTGCCGTGACCGCAGTTGGACGGCATGAAGCAGTACTGGGGCATCGTTAGGAAGGGCTGGGGCTGAGGGTAGCAGACGCAGCACTGCTTATCGGGCGGGTCAATAACCGGTGGCGGGTCCTTACACCAAGGGCAGTCGTTGTTGAGCCCGTTGCGCCCGGTGCTGGCGCATATATGCCTCACTCGCCCGTTGACTATGTGCGCTCCGTAGACATCCTGCTCTTCGCAGACGCATTTGCAACCCGGCTTGTACGATTTGGTACATTCATTGTTCGGGCCGCACATCGGGTACTTGCTGTTCCCGCCTGCTGTACTGCTTCCACAACAGCATGGTGGTGGTGATGGTTTGCAACAACAGCTCATATTGACAATATCAGAAATCACTTACCCCCGTTGAAATATCTGACCCTCAGTCTCAGTTCTCACCTATGTATTATTTTATCTATATTGATTGTTAGATGTGACTGTTTAGTACATTTCTGTGGAACTTGAAAAGTGTGATAGATGTAATGGTGTAAGTTTGTCCAACATGTGATCAGTTGTACTGTTTTATTATGATTTTTTTTTTAATAAACACATGTTCAGTTATATAGTTAATTAAATTATGTACTCTATTTACCACACTATTTGACATTTTTAACTAGTTAATTTATTTCCTGCTGGGCTGAACTTTTCAAAATTTAATTAGACTTGCTGGCATAATTGAGTAGAAGACAAAGTCAAGAACATCCTCCTGTTCTTCAGACTATTATTCCCTTCCTAAAATAAAAATAATATAATATTTTTTTAAAAATCCTTACATGTCCTCTTTTTATTAATGACTGATTTGTTCGAATTTATCGATTAAATTGTTTGAATTCTATCCAAAAAATTTTTACACCTCTACTTCGCTGTCTAGATACCTATAGAGTTAGGGAGTGAGTGAGAGATGAGTGAGTAGTGTGAGCAAAAAATGAAAGAATGAGTGAGTGAGTGTGAGAGTGAGTGAATGAGAGAAAGATTCCTATATAGTGTCAACTATAGAGTGAGTGTATGAGAGAGATTTCTGTACAGGGTGTTTTTTTTTTCTTGGATACCAGGGACTGGAGGAGTTCCTTCCTGAGCACTGCAGCTTATTGTACTTTAACCATGGCTCCATATTTTGGGGGAGGGCTCGCAACACATATGTGAACTTGAGCCCCCGTTGTACCGGTGTTCTTCCATCGAAGAAACTCATTTTTGAAGGGGGTTGGGACCAAATTCAGGGTCGCCGAGATCTGATCCCGCCCCTTCCATTGTGTCAATTTCTTTCAATTACAGCCACGAGTCCCCTTAGGCATCAGAAAAAGTCCAGAGGCGACGGTGGGGATCGAACCCACGACCGCAGGATCTACTAGCCGAGAGTCTGACGCCTTAACCACTCGGCTACCGCGGCCCTCGTACAGGGTGTTACAGGGTTAAATGTCAATACTGCCATGGTTGATTCACTAAATAGAATTTAGTTCAGTGCCACCAGAACAAGGTATCTTTCCTGGGATATTAACATTTTTGTGATTTTAGTCTAAAATCAGATTTTTTTAACATAAAATCGTAATTTCTCGACTTAAGCATAATTAAAATACAAATCTGACCTTTATTTCAAAAACTACATTAAATTTTCCACAATGTTCAATATCATGTTTTTCAACCTTGCAAAGGATATTTCACAAAGAAAAGTTTAAAAAAAAAAAAATGTATATGTCCTTGAAATATTTACAAAGTAATGTAACTTTGGTGACATCCATGATTGCACGAGCCACAATTGAGTATTTCCAAAAAAACATAGGTTTTGCCATTTTTTATTCTTTGAGCGGCTACTGAGTATTCAGAAGAGCAAATTTTTCAACGGAAATGTTAACTTGTGGAAAATTTATTGTAGTTTTTGAAATAAAGGTCAGATTTGTTTTTTAATTATGCTAAAGTTGAGAAATTACAATTTTATATAAAAACAAATCTATTTTTGGAGTAAAATCACAAAAACGTTAAAATCTCAGGAAAGAGTTAAGATAGACTTACAATTACAAAATTCTATCAATAATGTGCTAACCTGGTGCTCTAATAACAAACTTGCTCTTAATGTTTCCAAATGCTACACAATTACATTCTCTCATAAGAAACAAATTTTTATTTATCTCTATACTCTCCATGATGCTCTCTTAACGCGAGTTGAGGTCGCAAAAGGATCTTGGTGTACTTTTTGATCAAAAGCTCAAGTTTAAAGAACATATTTCTTCAATAAAAAATAGATCTATGAAGATGCTAGGTTTCATCATCCGGAACACCTATGAATTTAAAAATCCTCTATGTTTTGTCCATCTTTATAAAGCTTTTGTACAACACATACTAGAATATGCTACACCAGTTTACAACATAAACCCATTCTATCTAAATTATCAAAAAATTCTTCAATCTGTACGAAACAAATTTTTTAAAAAATTTTCCTACAAACTCTATCTTCCTCCGAATTCTGCCTACCCTGGAATCCGCTCTGAATTTAAACTTTTCGAACTGGCACTAAGAAGAGATACTTTGATATTGTTTTTGTATTTAAATTATTAAACAATCTCATTGATAGTNAGAATTATAGCTATTTATAAAGACTGTACATAGGATTAAAATTAATGGGAGAGAGAGAGACGAACACCGTCACCTCAGGTTGCACTGTTATGTTGTTGAAAGTTGAAACCACAATCATACGGATTTTATTAGCGAGATGACTGTTTTCACCATGTTTAATGTAATTTGCTGGCCATGTGCTTCATAACCTTAAGCCCAAGACGTCCATACTATAGTTTTACCATGTTAATCGTTTTCTGCACTCCTGGGGAAGCCCTGATGATGGCACTATAAGTTGCCAAAAGCTTGGTGAACCCAACAATTAGTCTTTTCCTTTCTTCACCTGTCTACTGACCTCCATGAAGATTGAAACTCCACATAGATTACCTGCAGGTCGATCAACAAACACGATATCTGTTTACATTTATTCACAATAAAATTCATTAATAATTAATGGAATTAAGAAACAACTGTGGCCACAGGATAATTTTTTATTTTTACCAACCTTAATAGTTCTTAAACGAAGCTCTACAAAATATTCGTAACTTAAGTACAATCTTAAAAAGTCCTGGAATCCAATGACCAAAAGTATAACACAGACCATATGTTGAATAACATTTTTGACTTTGGATTCAGATTCTGCTTAAAAAATTATGAAAAACCTTATCATCGATTTCTTTAATTTAATTTTAAAGAACTCTTCCAAATACCCCCCCCCCTAAAAAAATTACTCATATTACTGTGCTATATTCGAGTTTACGCTGGGAAAATAATTCAAAACTGAGTCTTTTTTTAATGCATTTTAATTTATATATCCTCGACATCTTGCCCTTCTCGCTTGCTCGATGAAGGGAAGCTTGCAGAGTGGGGACATTTGACGCCATACAATCCTTCCCTGTCTGAAAAATAATGCAAAAATCAATTAATTCAAAATTTATTTAGGAAAATGGTCGGATAATTTGGTTAAGAAAGATTAAAGGTGTAATTCAAAAGGCAATTTGCACGGTGACAAAATTTGAATTTGAATCAATCGCCATATATGACCAAAAAATGTAGAATCAGACTTTTATATATAGAAATGCCCAGCCAAATTCCATTTTGGATAATTGTATGTTAACATGGCAATTAATTTAGTAATCTAATCGTTTGAGCAAGCTGTTTTTTTTTTCCAGATGTTCTTCACTTATGCAGTACATCCCATGCAGAATCACCTGACCAAAATGTGGTTTTTGTTCAAGTGCAAACATGCCAGCTTAATTTAGCGATTTATCTTAAATCAGCAGGACAAGGTCAGCAAATTTTGGATTTTTATTCAGCAGCCAGAAGCTTATTTTTAAATACAAACAGTTGCCATACAACATGTACCCAGTATATAGTCTGGATACATTTAATTATATAGTATTGCTTGGATTTAAGAATCGGTTTCTAATTTTATCTAGCCATTTAAAATCTGTTGGAGAGTCTTAGCTAATTTTGGATTTTTTGGGCAAAAGTTAGAAACCGTTTTCAGCCAGATTCAGCTATTCAATCCCAGTATAGAACTTTCCACCGTTGGAAATCTGCAGGACAGCCATAGAAAATTTTAGATTTTTTGGGCAAAAGTCACTTATTACTGTAAAATGGAAGTCAATCCTGTCTTAAATTAGAGTTTGTTGTCCTGAATTGATACCGGTCATTATACATCACGTAGAAACCCCCAGCCGATATTGGCTTTTGGATCAATAGACTTAAAGACACGGAAGTATTGTTTCCTTCCTTGGAAATCTGCAGGACATCTTAGAATTTTTGATTTTTTAGACGGTGACTGACATTTGGACATTATACTTAATGCAGAATCACCCAGCCAAATTGGCTTTTGGATCAGTAAACTTGAAGGCATGGAAGTTTAGGGTGTAGCCCTTGGAAATCTGTAGGACAGCCATAGAAAATTTAGGATTTTTTGGGCAAAAGTCAGAAGCTGGTTGCTAAATCTGAACCTACTGTCTAGTTGTAGCCAGGGCAAATTGGCCTTTGGATAAGGTGAAGACATACCTGCTTAGTTTAGCGATTTATCTTTCCTCCCTTGGAAATCTAAGGTGTTCTATTTTTGGGCATTATATGTATCTAAAAAGACCCAGCCAAAATTGGCTTTTGGATCAGTAGAATACATAGGAGCTTAGTTTTACTTTTCTCACATACAAATCTGCTGGATAGTCTTACCATTTTTTTTTTTTTTGCAAAAATAGATACCTGTTTCTAAATCTAAACTGCACTGTCTGCAGACTGCACTTGTGTAGCCAGACCAAATCGTGTATTGAATCAAGTGAAGTTTAGCAGTTTATCTTTCCTTTCTTGGAAATCTGCTTGACAGTCATAGCAAATTATGGAATTTTTTGGGGGAATCTGAACCATACTGTCCAGTTGTGTTGTGCATCCAGAGCAAAATGGCTCTTAATTTAAGCACTTTGACAATCACAAACAGTCACTGTCCTGTCCATCATGCGAAACATTCACCTTGCAATCATGTGTATGTTCATCTTTGGAGGTGAATTTCTCCTGAATGTCCTTAGAAAGTTGATAAAAGGGTGGGTCGACATCCTCCTCCAATTCCTGCTTTCGAGGGTGGTATCCTTCCCGTTTTCAAAAGACCCCCGCCTCCTGCATTTCTTTGCCTGGACAACCTGGCCCGAACAACCTGGCACGCCTTCTTCGCACCGTCCCTCAACTGTCTGCACCTCTTTGTCTGAGTCTGTGAGGGCGTCGGACTTTGGCATTTCCCTCTCATCTGCAAGGACGACTCCGTCGTAAAGTTTATTGTCACAGTCACATCGGATCTCGTAGTAAAGATCCTTTTTGTTCTTCATTGGCTGGAAAAACAAAATTTTTTCAATAGATTGACATCCAGAAATTGCCATAAATAAAGGACACAGTGACTCACTGTGAATGCCAAGATGGGGTCGAGGGTCTGACAGTACATTTCGTTGACAATTGTGTTACTGGGGCGTTTGGATGCAGCTGGAATTGAAGATTTTTTTGTTTTGAAATTTGTGTTTCCCCTCTTCAATTACTTATCCATGAAATTTCATTTGATGAAAATCTTTTATACTTACTACTTCCCATATGTTTTTTATATTCTCTGTCCAAAAGAGTAAACAAAAATTTCCACCTCCAACCCTAATCGTTTTCCAACTATCCCTTTAAAGTTTTACTGAATTCACTAAAATTTAGACATTTTATTATATATTTTTATTGGCAATCAAACAGCACACCCCAACCCTCTACTATTAGATTACACCTATATTTTTTTATGTATTGTTTTTAATGAAACAATCATATGTGACTATGTAATAAGACTGTGACATGACAACTTTTATGTGTTTTTTTTTATTGTAACCCGATCGTGACTTTTTTGTCGCGAAAACGTGGAAATGGTTCGATCCTCGCCCTGGGCTGTGTTTTTCCGTCCAGGGAAGGCTTTTAATCGGAAAATTTTTCTGCTTTTTCTTTTTTTCCTCTTATCAACCCCCGAAACCGCAGGCACCACGCTAATGCCGAAAACCCCCCTGGGGCTTTTCCAGAGAAATTTGTCTGAGTTAGAAAAAAAATTTAATATTCACTCGAACCAAAGACGTTCGTTTTTGGTGGAAAATCTATGGGGATGGACGGTAATGGGATGATTTGATTCGTTGAACAACTTGTTGATCGGATATGATTCCATGGAATGCATGAACCATGAGCATTCTGAATCATGTTCAATCATGGCCGCCATGATCGACATAACAGACCAAATGGACTCACTAATTCTTTTTATTTTCATTTTTTGTAACATACTTAAAATATTTATTTTCATGATTTGTCAATTATTTTTCGTCTTACGATTCGCCTTAATGGTCACACTTCTAATAAACTCCAAGTATAATGTTAATAGCAATCTAGTCATCAGTGGTAATTTAGTCACCCGTGACCTATTATGTCATCTATGCATGATTTAGAAGGTAACGTAATCCATGATTTTATTAACTGTAACAACTTTTTAATGTTTTTAAAATAATTACATTTATAAAAATAACTTACAAATTGATACTTAATACAATCAAGATTTATTGATTCCGGAACTTGTTAACTTATACACTGCCGACTAGATTTTTTTTTTACCGGCGAACAACTAGGTCATGGCCAACTAGATCGTTATTTATCGATCTGATCCATGACGGCTCATGGGATCCATGTTCAATCATTGCCACCATGATAGACTAACCATGACCAAGGGCTCGATAATAAATTTCGTTTTCTTATTTTAGAAAAAAAGGGTTAATTTATTTTTATGGTTTGGCTAATATTTTTGTTCATTCATGGCTACTTTGCTGAGTCTGGAAAAAATAAATAAATCCATCCAATGGTTCAATTTTTACTGAACTGCTCCTTTATGGCAAAGCCCTTGAGTCATCTTCATCGCATCATCAAGCGTTCAAGGCTAAAGCGGGGGACCGCNTTTTGTTCGATTTTGGCAGACAATCAGTTCATTTTTTGTGCAGGATTTTTCTCATAATGACACATTAATTACGAACTATAACGAGGTTAAAATGTCCCTCCCTGGACATTTCCCAAACCGAAAATTTTATATTCACTTGGAAAATATCGCAAAGCCCTTACTCCTTTTCATGTATACCAGCAGGAGTTTTTGAAAATAAAAAACGCACTCCCACAAGCGTCATTTATCTATACGGACGGATCAAGGAGCTCCAGGGGCGCGGGAGCTGCGTCTGTATGTAGCCCTAACAAATTTCTTTTCTCTCTACATTATTTCTGTAGCAACTATAGCGCTGAGCTACTAGCAATACGGAAATCTCTAAATTTTATATGACAATAGTAGCTATGTGATGTGCTCTGATTCAGAATCGACCTTGGAACACCCCTATTCAGATGATCCCAGTGTGCAGGAGGTACTGGCGTCACTAGGGAGCCTCCAACTGCAGGGAGCGTTTATTTCGTCTGGGCTACTGGTCATGTAAACATTAAAGGAAATCATTTGGCAGATGAAGCTGCAAAAGAAGCAGCCATTACAGGCCTTCGAATCAGGAACATTTCAAAGGGTGATACGACTGTAGTTTACAAGTCAAAAGTTAAGGGCCGATGGAAACAGGTCTGGACTAATATATCTGAAAACAAACTACGGGAAATAAAGGACTCTGTAGATGCATGGTCTACTTCATTCAGAAATAGTAGAAGGGAAGAAGTGGTTCTTGCACGGTTGAGGATTGGACACTGTAGAGTCACTAGGGGTCATTTGATGGGGCGAGAGGCACCTCCAATTTGCGGAATGTGCTATCAGATCGTCACAGCCAAACATATACTTACGTCATGCACATTATATACAGCCCTCCTGCACTCCTTGCCTATAAGCATCCAAGAAATGCTAGGCGACAACGACGATAGTATACGTAATTTGTTTAATTTTCTCAAACCAGCAAATCTACTCGACAAAATATGAGCTCACACTTATTGTCCTTCTCTATATATACTAGATCAGATAGATAAAGATAAATAGATATAGAATAAAGATACTAAGATAATAGTAATTAGGTATAATAATATATTTATAGATATAGAATAAAGATAAATAAATATAGATAGATAAATGTACTAGGTCGATCGTCCGCGTGGGTGGCTCTAACCTTTATGCCTCTTTGATCTTTTAGATAATGAGATAATCATTGGGACAATCATGACCCTTGGTGGTTGCGCCCCCCCCCCACAAAAAAAACTTTGCCGAATTTTTGTCATCATGACGTATGTTTGTACAAGCGATCAAGGCAGAAGTACATTTCTTAGTTTGTTGACTATTTTCCTTTTTTTTTAAGGGGGGGGGGAACGCAACCACCAAGGGTCATGTTTGTCCCAATGACTAACTCATTATCTAATAGGTAGAAAGAGGCATACAGATTAAAGCTACCCACGCGGACGGTCGACCTAGTACATTTATCTATCTATATTTATTTATCTTTATTCTATATCTATTATTATTATTTATTATCTTTATTATTGTCATATCTAATTATTATTATCTTATTATCTTATTTAATTTATCTTTATATATCTGATCTTGTATATATAAAGAAGGACAAACAGTGTGAGCTCATATTTTGTCGAGTAGATTTGCTGATTTGAGGAAATCAAACAAATTACGTATATTATCATTGTTGTCGCCTAGCATTTCTTGGATGCTTATAGGCAAGNATCTCACGATTTCTGAATAATTAAAAAAAGTCATAGCGGGTCCATTTGATCAGTCCATCATCAAAACTGCCTGGTGGCCATGATTGATCATGGATTGATGGATTGGCCATGAGCCATAATGAATCTGATAAATTACTATCTAGTCGGCCATGATAAGCAGTTCGCGGGTTAAAAAATCTATTTAGCAGTGTAAGTTAAAAAATTACTGACTTGAAATTTCTTGATTATGTGTAGAGATTAGTGATCTCACGATGTCCCGACAGCATCTCACGATATCTGAATAACTATCGATTAACGGTCACTAATCTCTACACATTTCTACACGAGAAGAACGAAGAATATGGGATTTCTTGATTATATTAAGTAACAATTTGTAACTTATTTTTATAAATTTATTATTTAAAAAAAATGTGAAAAAGTTGTTAAAGTTTAATAAAATCGAGGGATATCATTACCTTGTCAATCATGCATACATGATGGAATAGATTACGGGTGACTAAACTACCACTGGTGACTAGATTGTTATTAACATTATATGTATCTGTTTTTTTTGTGTGCTTTTCTTTCTGAGCAGTGTGGCCGATATGAAATCAAAAGACGAAAAAATGATCAAATCAAAAATAATTTGTTGAATTCGTGAGGAGCGGTCAAGAATGAAGTAGTTTAGAAAAACATCTTTTTTATTTTTTGGCAAAAGAATAAAAAAGGTGTTTTTCTAAACTACCTCATTCTTGATCGTTCCTCACGACTTCAACAAATTATGAAACAACCATGAAGAAACACACATCATAAAAATAAATGAACACTTTAGCTCTATAATAATTAATAAGGGGGGCGTCGGTGGCCGCAACGATTTAGGCGTTGACACGGCGCTCATCACTGTAAGGTAAAGGTCCGGGGTTCGAATCTAGCGGCCCTGCATTCGAACCCGACATAGTTACAAATGGTTTTTTTTTTTTTTTCAAAAACACCGGCACCCTGAGGGTTTATATGACCTCTGCTGTTGCGAATCCTCGTAAAAAAAATAAATAAAAAATTATTCAGAAATCGTGAGATGCGTCGGGTGTGATGTAGGTTTCAGAAAAACATTTTCTTTATCGTGCCAACGTTTTGATCTTTATTGAGATCATCTTCAGGGCTCAAAGTGTTTGTCTTCTGTGTGCCATTCTTGCGCGTCGTGTTGAGAGTGCTTAAAAAAAATTAATAAGAAAAAAGATGTGATAGAGAGTCCATTTAATCAATATATCATGCCGGTCGTGATTGATCATGGATTGATGAATTTGTCATGAGCCATCATGGATAAGATCGACAAAAATAAAACCATTGGATGCATTTATTTTTATTTCTTTAATTCCGTCACTTTCTAACTGATACATTGATGTTCTAATACTGACTCGACGGTTATTGACGTTTTATTTTTACTGGCCCAAAACATAACATAACCATTCGGGAATCATAAGACAAACGAACAAACCTCGGGGTAAAACTTGCCAAATATTAATGTTGGCTGAATTAGCTAAGGCCATATTCCAGAAGTCTCTAGGTTGGGAGCGAAAATCGTAAACCTGGTCTGTAGGGTATTGAAAATTGAACCGTGGATAACTTCGCCTCGAAGTCACTTAATTTGACGATGGTTTTTAATTATGTGCCAAACATGACGAAGGTAAACATTTCTATTATAAGAAATGTCTTCGAGAGCCTATATGAACTGTGGATCATGGCGATCATCGATGGCGTCACGATGACAGAACCATCACCTCATTATAATTCGTAATTAACGTTTCAAAGATCGTTTAAAAAAAAGATTTCTTTGTTTAACAGATTCCGGTAAAAAATAGTTTTTCGTTGATTTTTCATCCAACTAGTCATGATGACAAAAACACCTCAGGTTTGATATCCTTAATACAAATGTTGGTGATTAGTGACTATTAATCGATAATTATTCAGAAATCGTGAGATGCGGTCTGGTGTGATGTAGGTTTCAGAAAAGCATTTTCTTTATCGTGCCAACGTTTCGATCCTTATTGAGATCATCTTCAGGGCCTGGGATTTACAAACATTGTTACATTTAACTTCCTTCCCCACCCCTTCAAAATCCAACGTATATGAACATAAAATAGCAAAATCTCACCGGCACTCTCAACACGACACGCAAGAATGGCACAATTACACAAAAGACAAACACTTTGAGTGAGTAGAAATACTTTGATTGAATATAAAAAATATATTTTGCATTGCAATATATATTTTCACATTCATTTCAAATTCACTTTTCCACATCCTAAATGTATTTGTTAAATGTAAACATTGTTTGTAAATCCCAGGCCCTGAAGATGATCTCAATAAAGATCGAAACGTTGGCACGATAAAGAAAATGTCTTTCTGAAACGTACATCACACCAGACTGCATCTCACGATATCTGAATAACTATCGATTAACGGTCACTAACCTCTACAAAATATGACAAAACATTCGAGGAAAGAAGACTAGCTACAGGCAGAAAACCCTCTACGACACCCTGTATAATAAATTCTCAAATTTGGACGGCTTTTCAAGCCCTAATTCACCCGAAAATTATTCAAAAACCTCGGTTTTTCCCTTTATTAATTATTATTTGAAGGAATAATTATTTTCCGAAATTTCCTCCTAGAATAAATACAAAACCCAAGGACAGCACCAAATTTTGGGACGAGTGTAAAAATTCGAAAATTTCCAAATTGGATTTTTTTTTTAAATCGCGTTTGTTAGACTTAAGTGCTGTTCGATTTTTTCCCCTTATTAAATATTTTTATTACACCTGTTGCCGGAACGTACTCAGAAACAAACAAGAAAGGGGATTAGCCCGGGACCGTTAAGGCGGATAATCCGTACGACAAAAGGGGGGCCCCCCCATTCGACTACCTGGGCCGTCGGTGCCCATTGAAATTGTAAATTTTCCCAAAAACTATTGTCAATATAAATCCTAGGCTCGGGAGATTTTCGATTTACAATTTACGATCTAAAGGAAAATCGAGTCGAAAAAATAAGTAAAAATTGTAGAAAGGAACAAATCCCAAAAGTACACAATAGGACCAAAGTACTCGCTTTAATTAAGGTAAAATCGCTTGGATTTTCGTCTTTTTAAACTCAAAAAAAGCCGCCGCCGAATTTGAAAATAGAATTTCATTAAAAAACAAAACTGTTTACTGGATTCGTGCCTTCGTGAAGGAAATAAATTTACTTTCTCAGGTGTTTTTTAATTATGGCAAGACTTTTCCATAAAACTACGTAAAACGTGCGTTTCTTTCGTTTGTTGAATTCGTGAGCAACGGTCAAGAATGAAGTAGTTTAGAAAAAAATGTCATTTTTTTGACTACGTTTCGACCTTTTGGGTCATCTTCAGGCCTATATAAATTACAAAATCTATGTTGATTGAAAAGAATACAATGAAATACTAGATTCAAAAGTTATATATACATCTGTATTGCATTCTTTCACCCTGGCCCTGAGGATGACCCGAATAAAGGTCGACACATCGGCAAAAAAATGAAAAAGGTGTTTTTCTAAACTACCTCATTTTTGACCGCTCCTCAAAACTTAAACTACTTCAAACGTTCACTGTGGATCCTATTTTTATTTTTTATTCACTAGTTTTCGAGGTCCGCTTGACAAATTAATATCTTTAAGGTTTTTAGTTGAGATAAAAAAAGTCAGTGTCACGAGCGGAATTCGAACCCACGACCTTCGGAAGATAGGCCGCTGCTCTACCACTTGAGCGATCGTGACTTATTTTTTTATTTTAATTATTTATTCTCTTCTACAGTCGCCCCTTTCACACTACACATTCACTCTAATAAATACACTCGATGCCAGAACACAAAACGAGATATCAAGCACTATGTACAATAAAAGAATTCTGTTTCATACAAAATCGAAACACAAGGCCACAAATGCTCGATCCATTGTAACATTGGGCGGTAAGCCTACACGCTCTCCGTAAGGAGCCAAGGAACGTGTCACATATATGGGACAAATCGAGCGGCTTTCATTGAAAATAAAAATATTTTTAGCTTTTTAGTTGAGATAAAAAAAGTCAATGACACGAGCGGGATTCGAACCCACGATCTTCGGCTAGATACGCCGCTGCTCTACCACTTGAGCTATCGTAGAGCAGCGGCGTATCTAGCCGAAGATCGTGTGTTCGAATCCCGCTCGTGCCATTGACTTTTTTTATCTCAACTACAAATCTTAATTAATTGAAATATATTAATTGGTCAAGTGGACCACAAAATTAGTGAATTTAATATTTTTAGCCTGGATCAGCCAGCATAGGGTATATTTTCTTCCTTTGATGTCCGGTATTCCATTTTAAAAATTTAAATATACACTGCTATGAATAAAGTAGGCACAAAAATTGTTTTTGTAAAAATAAATTCTAATTAGTTTTAAGCATTCTTTAAATCTCTTAAATACGAAAATAAAGATAATACACATTTTTGTGGATCAGCCTAGGGCATATTCTCGTCCTTTGATGTCCGATGTTCCACATTAAAAATTCATAACTCCTATGGGTCTTTTTTCAAATAGAACATTTTTACAACCGCCTGAAAGAGAGATGTCTTGTCTTTCAGCCTATTTTAGCAATATTTGGTCTTTAAGTTAGTATAAGTGAGAAAAAGTAAGATGAAACTGACAAAACCTCACCAAATCCAACAGCTTCCAGTAAAGTACGATTTTTTTTTTTAAATCAATTGTAATTCGTTTTAAGCAATCTTTAAATATCATCATCATAAACACGAATTTTCATTTAAAACAAAAAATAGACTTTTTTGGGCTAGTTTAGTCTAGCATATTTTCGTCCTTTGATATCCGGTGTTTCGCTTTAAAAATTCTTTAACTGCTCTGGATTTTATTCAAATTGATATCAGTGATTGAGTTTGGTGATTTTTCCCATAAAAGTTCTTAATTGACGAACTTATGCAAAAATTTTAAGGATTCTGTTTATAAGGACAAAGTTTTCTTCCATAGTTCCACAAAGTCCATACAAATTTTCTTAGGGGAAAAAAGTAAATAAAACTTCAAAATAGTACGAAAATCAACGTCTTTATCCATGGTCATTAATTTTTAATGGCAAAACAACTTTAATAAATACTCTTTATGAAAGGTATTGGTTAAGATAAAAAGTCAGCGTCACGAGCGGGATTCGAACCCACGATCTTCGGCTACATACGCCGCTGCTCTAGCACGAATTTTCCCTCCTTTTTGCCTTTTTTTCAAATGCCGTGTAATCTATTTGATTCTCGACGACAAATGAAATGGCCACGGAGAGGTTTCGTGAAGATATACTTCAGTTTAATTATTAAATCCATTACAGTTCGTGGTCCAATTGACCAATTAACTTTTTTTCAATTAATTAATATTTATGAAAGGTGTTGGTTGAGATAAAATTCGAGAGGTGAGGTTGAGATGGGAAGTTAGTGTTCGAGCGGATGGAAGTCACGATAGCTCAAATGATAGAGCAGCGACGTATCTAGCCGAAGATCATGGGTTCGAATCCCGCTCGTGACGCTGACTTTTTATCTTAACCAATACCTTTCGATTAATTAATTGAAAAAAGTTAATTGGTGGAATGGGTTTACCCCCTTTTCCATACCATCACCACTCCCCTTTAGCAATAAATCACTGTATTTTGGTCCGATGCAATTAAAAAAAAGGGAATACCGACAGAAAAGCTTAGCGAACGAAGAAGTTTAGTATGAAATTTGACAAGCGTGAATTTTTCAAATGAGGTTGCAAATTTAGTTTTTTTAACTTATTTTAAATTTAGCAGTTTTTGAAAAAAAAATCAAAAATTAAACTGAAAGTTGCAGAAGGTTGCCTTCTTAAAGGCAATTTAACACTCATTTCAATGATTTTTTTTATTTGCCCCAAAAACGAATAGTTCAAGAACTACGAGTATTTTTATGTATGGTAGAGAGTTTGGGGGAAAAATGGAATGTCTGAGAAAGTTAATAGAAATAATTATTCAGAAATCGTGAGATGCGGTCTGGTGATAGGTTTCAGAAAAACATTTTCTTTATCGTGCCAACGTTTCGATCTTTATTGAGATCATCTTCAGGGCTCAAAGTGTTTGTCTTCTGGGTAATTGTGCCATTCTTGCGTGTCGTGTTGAGAGTGCCCGTTATTAGAAATTATGACTGTCTTATCTAAAAAGTCTCTGAGAAAGGATTGACAATCTGACCATGGTACATGCCAATTTTTCTTGCAATTGAGGAGTAGAAGAATTTGATGAACTTTGTCCTACGAGTAGGGAATTACCCTGTATATAAGTTTTGTAGCTATAGGAATAGGATTGATTCCTCTTGAAGGAAAATATATATATTGCGAGTAGATTTTAATTTAAAAATGTATAGTATTTATTCAAGTTTTTTGTCCATTAAAAATTAATGACCAAGAAAGAGGTTGGTTGAAGACGTTTTATTTATTTTTTCCTAAGAAAATTTGTATGGACTGGAGTTTTTGTTTTTGATTTTTTGATTTTGGGGTGGCTTGCGTATGGAAAATATAAAAGGAGCCGAGATAAAGGAAAGGTCCGAGGGGGATGAGACGGGGTGAGAGGTGAGCGGCGAGCGGAGAGGGTGGTGGATCCGAGGGTGCCGGGGTGGGGTGTCCTGTGGAAGGGATAAGTCCGCCGGCGGAAGGGGAACGTCGGCAGAGGGCTCGGAACGGCGATTCAGTCTAAAGGTATCTTCCGTCGGGCCAGTACAGACAGGATGATCATATTCTAACAACGTTGACATGTGATTCCCTCAAAGGGGTCCGGGATTTTTTTTTATTTTTTTTCTTTTCGCCGAGAGTTGGTTTTGACGCGATGATGGAGAACGTGAACAGTTGCACGGACTGCGGTTTAGTGTTCGACTCTTCGAAATCGCTTGACGTCCACCTGAGTTACCACAAGGAGACACTGATGTCGAAATGGGGCTCGGCGTCCGGATCGGCGGAGGACAACAACAACGTGAAGAAGGCGAGGCCGGCGGCAGCCGACTCGAGCGACTTCCACTTCCAGGAGTTCCAGGAGAGCTGCGGGTTCCAGAGGCTGCCGAGGACCCAGTACAGGTACCACCCGTACGGCTACGACCGGCAGGTCACGTCTAGTCAGGTCCAGTGCGACAAGTGCGGCATGTCGATGGACCAGAGCCTCCTCCATGACCACCATGCCCAGGTGCACCCCGTGTGGGAAGAGCCGCAGGCGGAGATCCTCGACCTGGACTCGCACAAGGTCCACGTCTACCAGCCTCCCGAGGAGATGCCGTGGAAGTTCTTCAAGGAGGAGAACGGGAACAGTTCGCCGGACCCCCTGGGGGCGGTGAGCTCGAGCGAGGTGTACCTCGAGGCCCCGGCCCCGCTTCCCCTGCCGAAAGCCGCCTGGAAGAGTAACGAGGCGAGGAGGCCTAAGACGTACAACTGTTCCGCGTGTAACAAGTGGTTCACGTCCTCCGGCCATCTGAAAAGACATTACAACACGACCCTCCACAAAAACGCGGTGAAACAAAGCGGAGGCGTGGACCCGGCGTCGCTCCCCGTGTCGACCCACCACCACCCTCCGGTGGACGAGTACCAGCCGCCCCCGCAACCCCCTCAGCCACCGCAGCCGCAGATGCACCCCCAACAGGAATTCTACTACGGGTATCACCCAAATGGTAATCCCCCCCACGGCGAACATCTCCCGAGCTTCTCGTCGTTGACAGGCGTCGACTACGAAACCGTGGGGGGGGCAGTGTACCGCCAGGAGAAAGAAGTCAGCGTGGTCAGCTCGACGGAAGGCGTCCCGTCCCAGGTCGTCCACAAGTGCGTCGACTGCGACAAGACGTTCAACAAGGCCTGCTACCTGACACAGCACAACAAGAGCTTCCACTCGGGGGACAAACCGTACAAGTGTTCAAGGTGCGGGAAGAGGTTCACACAGGAGTACCTGCACCTCGAACATTTGTCCAAGCACGCGGGAGAAAAGCCGCACAAGTGCGAAATATGTCCCAAGCAGTTCAACCACAAGACGGACCTGAGGAGGCACATGTGCCTCCACTCGGGCGACAAGCCCTACGCGTGCAACTTCTGCGGAAAGGGGTTCATTCGCAAGGATCACATGCTCAAGCACGCTGAGACACACAAAAAGAAGCAAATGTTCAAAAACGAGTACCGTTTGTGATCCGGGCCCACCGGCCGGCTCCCCCGAGACGATAATCAAACCCTGATCGACCCTTTTTAAATATAATAATAAATAAATAATAATATTAATTGTAAAAAATAATAATAATGCAAATTCGTTCGTTAAGTTGGCCACATATCCCAATAGATCTGTGATACAATCCCCACCTACCTCAGCAAAGACTGATTAATAATCGACAATTGTTTGGTTCCTTAATCTTTTGTTTAGTTTTTTTAATTATTTGATTAATTAATTACGAATTTTCTTTATTATTAAAAAAAATTGGTGTTTTGTTCCTTGAAATCTTTTCTAGAAAAAAATTACATTTATAAGTTTTATTGTACATAAATATATATATTATATATAAATATAAATATTATCGAATAAAATATTTGAATTGATTAAAGCAAAAATTAAAGAAAAAAATCAACATGGTCTCGATTTAAAATTTAAACAAATACTCGGAGTACCTTTGTAATTTGTAGTTGTTTTGTTAATAAAATGAAAAGGGAGAGAAGAAGGAAGAATTGTATAGTTGGAAGTTTTAAGGTATATACAATGGAAGAAAATTGACATGGAAAAAAGCCAAATGTATAAAAAAAATAAAAAATTTAAAATAAAAATTTACCTCGTGTTTCAGCAAAGGTAGAAAGCCTGTGTATTGTTTTATATATATTGTAGAAAAACCAACCCCTACACCCCAAACCTCAAAAATCCAGTCTTCAAACCTTACGGTAAAAAAAAATGGTGGCTTGAGGTTTCTTTATTTTAGGAGAAAAGACGTTAATATTTAGAAAATCGAAGGGACAGTGTCAAAAAAAGAAAAATGTTTACGTACTTAGATGTACCAGCTCCCGATATATTAACTAAAATCTACTATCACTCAGAAGCTCACCAACTCATTCACTCAAACTTACCCATTCACGCAGAACTCTCTTGCTCAGTCACTCACTTTCCCTAACTCACTCTCTCCTCACTCATTATCTCTCTGTGTCTATAGACACACTGTCTCTCAGAAACTCACTCTATCTCGCTCACTTAGTAACTCATTCTCTCACTAACTCACTCATATCTCTCGTTCATTTACTCATTCTCCACTAACTCGGTCACTCACTATCTCTCTTTGCCTGACACACACTCTCTCTCTCTCTCAGTAACTCATTCACTCATTCTCTCACTAACTCGGTCACTCACTATCTCTCTCAGTAACTCACTCAGTCAATCACTCCCTCATATCTCTCCCGCCTTCTCGTTCATTTACTCATTCTCCACTAACTCGGTCACTCACTATCTCTCTTTGCCTGACACACACTCTCTCCCTCAGTAACTCATTCTCTCACTAACTCGGTCAATCGCTCACTCATATCCCTCTCTCTCTTACTAACTCAGTCCGTCACTCCCTCTCTCTCGTTCACTTACTCATTCTCTCACTATATCCACCTATCTCCATCTATACATCTCTGTCTATTTCTCTCTCTCTCTCTCTATCTATCTATCTATCTATCTCTGTCTTCTCTCTCTCTCTCTATCAATCTATCTCTGTCTTCTCTCTCTCTCATGTATCTATCTATCTATCTCTGTCTTCTCTCTCTCTCTATCTATCTATCTATCTATCTCTGTCTTCTCTATCTTTGTCTTCTCTCTCTCTCTCATGTATCTATCTATCTATCTCTGTCTGTCTGTCTGTCTGTCCATCTATTTCTCTCTCTCTCTCACTCAGACATGGACTACCTTTCTCCTTCACTCACTCACTCCTTCCCCGAGTCAATCACTATCTCTCTCTCTCTCTCTCTCTCTCTCTCTCTCTCTCTGTCTCACTCTCACTTCTTCACCACCTCTTTCTCTCTCTCTCTCACTCTCACTTCTTCACCACCTCTTTCTCTCCCTCGCTCTCTCACTCTCACTTCTTCACCACCTCTTTCTCTCTCTCTCTCTCTCTCGCTCTCTCTTTCAACCCTTTCCTGTAATCTTTCCGTATCGCTTTATTTAGTTTTCCCAATCTTTTCCTGAGACGATTTTCGGTCTATATTCCCATGATGCTCGGAAGGTTGCCGTTTCGGTGTGGTAGGATTTTCACCCCGTGATTTTTTCTCTTCGCCTTCCCTCATCCTTGGGGGTTGCAGCGGGGTGCATCTTGCAGGTGGGTACAGCCCGGGGCAAAAAGGCCTGCCCCATTGGCCCATACGGTCAGGTGGTACAGTCCTGGGTACACCTACGCCATCACCATCGTGGGAATCCTATTGTGCACCGGCATCAATCACGTGCAGGGGAGGGCAAAAACTTCCACCTTTCGCACACCTGATTCTGGGCGAAATTTTTTCTACCCTCGGGCCAACCGAGGGTTGATACAACTCTCAGAGAGAAAATTTCTTACCAAATTTATTCTAATCGCGCGAAATCTTTGGCCCGTTCTTAAAGGATTCACGCGGCCGGACGGCTCGGGGGGAAAATAAAGGCGATGCACTTTTTTACGATCCGCCCTTTACGAGCTTCGGACCTCGAATTCCGAACCTCATAAGCTGTAATTTCCAGCGGTTAAAAACAAACGGGCTAATTCTACGGATGAAGGGAAAATAAAAACATAGAAAGAAGAACGAGGCCGGAGGTGATTTTCATTCTTCTCTCCGCTCAGCCGGATCCACGTCAAAAATCCCTGTCAGACACCGGACAGAATTTTCCGATTGAACTTGACCACAGATTCCAAAGATTAAGCCCATTTATACCCAAGCATCACCACGACTTACAAGACCCAAGGAAAAAACCCTCTTCACTTTGCAAACAGATTATAACCGTTTTATATAGTTTTCTTAGACATTTCGTGTGATAATACCGTTTTCCTACCCAAAATTCTATTTTCTAATAATCCAAAAGCTGAAGATAAGTCTCAAAACTTGTCAAATAATCTGAAACTTACCATTTCTGACCGTGTTGACCAGTTACGAGGGTTTTTAAACATTTCCCCTGATATCTAAAGTTTGGGTTTTTTTTAAATGCTTCAATTGTTAAGAAGATCAATGGCAAATGAATCCAAAGCTTACAAAGTCCCTAAGTCAGAAAATAGTTAATCCTTACTTCCAAAAACCCAAGGAATAAGAAACGAACGGTGTTAACGTTCAAGGCAAATTATAAAGTTTTTATATATTTTTATTTAATTTCTATTAAAATTTAATTCTGTAATAACTTCGTTCTATTCCAAAGCGCAGCTTTTATTATTCCTGAAAGATGCAAAGTTCCAGAACCTGTTTGATAATTAGAACGTACCCACATGACTTTATCGACCAATGAGTGTTTTTATATATTTTTCCCTAACTTTCAGGTAATAAGTAGACTTGCTGTCAAGTTGTTCAAGTCCCTCAGCTTAATTAAGTCTTATTTTAAATAACCAAGGTAAAAGTCAAAAACGAACCTTTATGACTTTCGATTAATTAAGGTTTTTAGTTGAGATAAAAAAAGTCAGTGTCACGAGCGGGATTCGAACCCACGACCTTCGGCTTGATACGCCGCTGCTCTACCACGTGAGCTGTCGTGACTTCGATCCGCTCGGGCACTAACTTCCCATCTCAACTCCACCTTTTGAATTTTCCCTCCTTTTTGCCATTTTTCACACAGACACACATTTTTTTACATAGGTTACACGGCATTTTCGTATTTAAGAGATTTAAAGAATGCTTAAAACTAATTAGAATTTATTTTTACAAAAACAATTTTTGTGCCTACTTTATTCATAGCAGTGTGTATTTAAATTTTTAAAATGGAATACCGGACATCAAAGGAAGAAAATATACCCTATGCTGGCTGATCCAGGCTAAAAATATTAAATTCACTAATTTTGTGGTCCACTTGACCAATTAATATATTTCAATTAATTAAGATTTGTAGTTGAGACAAAAAANCGATAAAGAAAATGTTTTTCTGAAACCTACATCACACCAGACCGCACCTCACGATTTCTGAATAATTATCGATTAACGGTCACTAATCACCACACAAATAATCAATATGTTGAAGATAAGTCCCAAAACGTGTCAAATAATCGGAAACGAACCATCATGACTTTATCGAACAATTAACAGTGTTTATATACATTTTATATAGATATCTAATATCCCAATAAATTATAAGCTTTTATTAATGTTTCGATAGTTCAATGGACTATAAGTATGAAGGTCACGAAGTGCCAAAGCCTGGAGATAATTAAGCATGTCCGCCAAGAACCAGGGAATAAGTCAGAAATGAATCCTTTTGACTTTATGGCCAAGTTATAAGGGTTTTATGTATTTTTATCTAGGTTTACAAGAAAATTCATTTTGCAACTGCACAACTTTTATTAATCCAAAAAGCTGAGTAAAAGGTCTAGGAACTGTCAAATAACTAGAAACGATCCTTCATGGCACTGTATAACAAATATGATTTTTATTTAGTTTTCCATAACGACACAATAAAGTTTCGGCTGTTTTCAATGCTTGTCTTATTAAAAGGACAATAAATGCGAAGCTCCTGAAGTCCCTAGGACCTTAATCGATTAAGCTTTAGTTCCAAGAACCCAAGGAATAAGTCCAAAACGGACCCTCTTCACGTTGTAGGCATATTTTAAACATTTCATGTATTTTTATCTAACTTATCGAGAAAATTAATGTTTTCCTATCATAAAATCCACTTTGCAATAATCCAGAATCCGAGGATAACTCTCAAAACGTGAAATAATCAAAAATGAACCCTCATGACTTTATCGACCAATTTTGATTGTTTTTATATTTTTTCCTTAATAGTTTAGGGACTAAACAAACAAGAATGCTTGTTTCCGATTTTTTCCTCTGGTTTAAAAATTAGAAGATGGGGGGGTTAATTGTTAAAAAGACACCGGCTTACAAGTATTAAGCTCACGAAGTCCCTAAAGCCTGTAAACAATTCTTGAAACTCTCAAGACCTGAGAACGCTTTGATAGATATCCTCAGGTTCTAGATTATTGCAAAATGGATTTTAAGGTGGGAAAACACTAATAAAACATAAATTTTTTAGATACTAGATAAAAATATATGAAACCTTTAAAAATCTGCCTACAACGTGAAGAGGTTCCGATTTTGACTTACTCCTTGGGTACTTGGAAAGAAAGCTTAATCGATTAAAGTCTTAGGGACTTCACGAGCTTCGAATTTATTAGTTAGTGCCCTCTTGACAACTGAAGCATTAAAAAAAGGCCTAAACATCATTTGGTTACTGGGGGAAAAAAAAGAATACTCATAATGTTAGGCAGTCTCATAAAGGTTCATTTGTAATTATTTGATAGGTCTTTTCCTCAGATTTTTAGGTTAATAAAAGTTGAACTTTGGGAAAAAAAGCATTATTTTAAGATTAACTTTCTTGTTGGCCTGGATAAAAATCTATAAAACCCTTATAACTTGGCCAGAAAATCAGAGTGGTTCGTCTCTGACTTAATCCTTTGTTCTTGGAAGTAATGCTTAATTATCTTTAGGCTTTGCGACTTGTCGCACTTGGGAATTATTGGCCTGGGTCTTGTAATTGAAGCCCGTTAAAAACCTAAATTTAATGTAGATATCAGGTAAAAAATTATATATACAGTTGTAATTCGTCAAAAAAGCAAGAGGGATCCGTTTGGAGACGTTTCTTGATTTATTTATAAAAA